CTAATATATTATATATATATAATAGATATTTTCATAACGTGCTAATATATTTTAATTATTTTTTAAAGAATAAAAGAGTGCCTAATTTATGTAATAACAATGTAATAATAACAAAGTAGTAATAATAACGAGGTAATAAATAATAATGTGTAATCGGGAAAAATTTTGGATTAAAAAAAACTTATAAGAACATTTTTATTTTTATTAACCTGTACAACTTTTGTACGTCTTAGCATTAGGTGGATTGGATATGTCTTTAGCCAGCCTTTGTATATACCATATCTGTACACCATCCTTAGTTAAATATTTTATAAATATTTGTTATAAATATTTATTTATTGATATGTTTTAATATATTTCAACAGCTGATAATGGTTTTATACATCGTTGTAACATTATTATTCATCATTTAACGATGACATTAAATAGTTGATCATCAACAGTTGATTATGGTTTTAAATAACCTTTTATATTTATTATTAAAATTTTGACATTGACATTAAATGTGAGCTAATATATTTCAATAGTTGATGAGGTTTTAAATATCCTTTTAATGTTATTATTAAATTTTTAGCATTGACATGAAAAGCGCGCTATGAAATTTCAACTGTTGATTATGCTGTTAGTTACAGCAGATGCTTCTTTCAATTTGCATATGAAATGCAGCATCAACTTGTATCTAAAATATTTGCAAATATATTCATAATTTCATTGCAAATTAAAGTTACCTTTTGATTACTTTTAAGTAAGTGCCAAACTTCTGCAAACATGAATCGAATTAATTTCTTATACTATTTTTAATTTATTCAAATTATTTGAAATCATTAAAATAAATTTCAAAAATGAGGAAATATTAAATTTTTTTCTGAAATTGAGACTTTAAAAGAGCACCACTCTTAACAAACTCTTTGAACAACTGTGACCTAAATAATTCAAGAAACTGGTCTATAATTTATTAAATTTCTTTTGCCGGATATCCGGCAAAACAGACTCATGCACGATTGACAAAGGTCAGCTCTCACCTGATAGATATTTATTCCTGTCAACTACTATGACTCTTTCGCACACTTTTCAATAATCCGAAAATATTTTTTCTCAGTCCGGCAGATGTATTCCCGGACTCCCGGATGGATGAGCAACAATCCGGTTCACGCGTTCGCTGAGGATCGTCTTCTAGCTGAATGATGAGAGTCTGCACGAACAGTCAAACAGCGCTTGCGCCCTTTGTTTCTGCGGCGCCCCTGTGCCGTTCCCAATCGGTCCCTCTTAAGTAGCTTTTGAATTTTGAGATGAGAATATAAGATTATTGCATCCATTCGTCTTCGCCGTTTAAAAGAAGCAATGTTTGTTTAGCGCCCTAGAATTGATTGTTTGTTGTTCGTAATGTATACATTATGTGAACGATAAACAGTAGATCTATTAGCTTAAGTGCTGCTTGTTTTAGGAAATAGATCATAAATAATAAATTTTGTGAAACCGATTTTATGCATATTGTTGAAAACTTATAAATGGGTTTTGGAGATTTACTAAAGAAAAAAAAATATTCGGGTTTTCTCAACTAAAGATTATCTAAAAACTTTTTTCTTCTTTTCTTTTCCTTTTTTATTTACACTTTTGAATATTTTACAACTCAAGATTTTAATCAGAAAAAAAGATTTCCTTCGAATTATTTTTACCTGTTGATTTTATTTTTAGATGATAAAACAAAGCTAATTTATTTACTAGTTTTGTTTTCGTTTATGAGTTTTTTTTAAAACTAAGTTCAGTTAGTTTTTTTAGTTAAAGTTCTGAATTTAAATTGTCATATCCAATCTTTTTTTCTAACTTATTTGTTTTTTATTTATAACGTAATAAGAAACGATTGTTTTCGATTGCTAACTAATTGAAAGTAATAACTATTTAACTATAATATAAGTTCTGGTTGATATCAACACACCTACCACTTTTTAACTCTGGGCATCAACCCAACTTCGTTATTTAATTCTCGATCTTTTAATGGCTATGGTTGGAATGCCACTTAATGTTGATCCCAATCATATGACAAGTTTAGCACCTGAGCTTTCTCCAAACACACCAACGAGAAGAGTTTCTGTCACGACATATTTAACATACAACTTTTTACGTATACAGTTTTCACGACCACCACCTTTCCACAAAGCTATATGTAAATCAACATTTTGCACTTCTAATTCTAAATCATTTGCAATTCTATGTAAATCTTTTTGCAATTCTTCTGAATTTGATTTTTACAAGGTACCGTTACTTGTTGTATACATTACGTTTTAAGCATGTAAAAAAACTCTAAATTCAATATGGAAATGAACTGTTCATTGATAGTGTTGATATAAAAACCCTGTCATTTTTTTAAAACTTTAAAAGCCTATTCTGAAATGCGCTATTTTTTAGATATAATACTATAGGTTTATGTTTTGTTTTTGATGTCTGAAAAGGTAGTGATACTAACTGTACCATAATAGGTGTTTTATTTTTGATGTTTGAAAAGGAAGTGATACTAACTGTACCATATAGGCTTATGCTTTGTTTTTGATGTCTGAAAAGGAAGAGATACTAACTGTACCATATACGTTTATGTTTTGTTTTTGATGTCTGAAAAGGAAGTGACACTAACTGTACCATATGAGTTTATGTTTTGTTTTTGATGTCTGAAAAGGAAGTGATACTAAGTGTACCATGAAGATTTTTTTTGGAGGGCAGCTTAAAAATGCTATTTTAGGTCCCCAAACCTTCTGAAAAATGTTTTTAGTACCTTTAAATAAGCTCCATTGATGTAGGTGAAACCGCTTCCACCAATTCACATCAGGTTTAAAATTCAAACTTATCTGAAAATTACTTTCATTCGTTTTCATCAAGTTTTTAATAATTTTGTTGCTCAGATACTTTTGAAATTGACATTTAAGTTTTATTTTAACTTAAAGTTTCACCCGTAATTACACCAATGATAATTTCTTTTTAGGTAGGGGGTTGCCGCAATCTGGGAAATATGGTCCGAATAGTTTGGTCAGGAGAGCAGTTCAAAAAACGTGATCCCTTTATGTTAATTTTACTTTTTGAGAAGTACGCCATATCTCGAGAACTTTTTAAGCGAGTTGAAAAAATGTTTGCACGCAATTATAAAATTCGTTTATCCAAAAATAATTCCATGCAAAATATAACTTTTAGTAAATATTTATTATTTTATTTACTAATAGTCGAAAAATATAAATTGTAAGGTATATAATTTATTTTAAAGAACGCAATTTTAAATGGCGAAATACAAAATTTGAGTGAAATTGATCAAATAGTTCTAGAGAAATCTAATTTAAAGCATGACGTAGTTTTAAAATTAGATTTCTCAGGAACTATTCGACCGATTTTGTTTACATTCTGTACCTCCTATGTTTTGGAGATCAGAAATCTGAATCCGTAAATAAAAAGTATGTTTATTCAGAGAAATTACGTTTCTGTGCCTGATTTCATAACTTTAAATATCGTCTACACTAATTAATTAGCATGCTTGAGGTCACCCTTTCAAACATTTAAGATTGAGTTCGAGAACGTACAGATCCGATCATTAGATCAAAAGTTATTCAGGGTTGTCCGTTTTTTATTTTGCACACTGTACTTTTCGACAAAAAATGGACTAAAAATGTCATTAAAAAATGAAGCTTAAAAAGAAGAACTAATTACAGTTTTGAAATAAGCAATGCGAAAGTATCTAAAATCTAATAAAAGAATTCATGCGACAGAAAACTAAAAAAAAATTTTCTCCAATTTTTTCTCATATGATTTTTCTTTTAAATAAGTCCAGTGAATTTCTGTGTTCATGATCGACCTTTCACTTGCAATGCATTTTCTCAAGTTTTGTTTATGCTTGATCAAATTTCATTTCTGTTGTGTTCCCAGCTTATTGAAGTGTCTACCAGTTAATAAATTATTTTTTATCTGTCAGTTTATTTTTGCCATTCTGTTATTGTGTAATTGGGTTGTTGTAATTTTCCACTGATAATGTCATTACTCTGAATTTAGTTTTATTCCCGTTCACTGGGGAGCGAAATTTTGATTTTAAAATTTATAAGAAAAATTTAATGTACTTGTTTTTTGTGTTACATATTGTGTTATTAGTTGTAAAAATACACGAAGAACTTCCTATTCCTACGAATGGATTCGTATATGGATCCATTTGTCTTAGATTTTATCACACAATAAAGTATTTCACCTCATTATTTTATCGTTTCAACTCACATCCTACTCTCATATTTGGAAAAGTAAGAAAACAAGTTTGGACTAATATCGTCGCCAAATTATAAGATTCTGTGCCTATGCCTTAATCCCTCACGACATAGATTTCTCGACGTTCCAGCAACGGCTTAAAGGGGGGTGGATGTCCAATTAAGGCTTATTCTCTACACTCGTCACGTAAGGCGTAAAGATTTAGGAAAAGCCTTGTTTGTTGGGCACTCTTTGCTTTTCCTTGTTTCACTTTATTCGCCAGAAAATCTCAGCATTGGGAATTTCTCCTTTCTTTTTCTCCTCCTCCCCACTTCTTTTTATTCTTTCTGAGAAGCACATTTTTGGCTTTTTCCAATTCCGAGCTGTTCCAATTTGCCGTTAGAACGTTGTAGTGATCATTGATTAGAGTTGCTGACGACGACTCTTCGTGTCGACGTGTTTAAACAAGTTGTGTTTCGGTAAAATGAGGAGCTGGTTTGTTCTGTGTTGAAATCGAGGAGATGTGGTTTGTTTATTGGTTATTGCAGCTGAGATTCCACCTTGCTCCGCTTTATGAGCAATTTTTTTTCCTGTAAAGCGAAATTCAGGTTTCAGTGTATAATTTTTAGTTTGTTGAACTTGACGAAAGTTATTTCACAAACCATTTTATATGAATAATTTTCAAGTTCATACAAAAGTGCCTCTTCGTTTCATTGTTCTTGTAATATATTTGTCTTTAAAAATAACTTTTGCCGGGATAGCCTGGTCGGTACGGTGCTGAACTCATGTACAGTAGTTCGTGGGTTCGAACCCCGCCGACCGAAGACTCCCCGTGTAGTTGGTGACTGATGCACGTTAAAATTCTGTCTTGTCGCAAAGTCCTCCATGTTCCCATGACAAATCAATACCACTGGGGGTACTGGATTGGAGATCGATCGTTCTCTGATTCAGGTCAAAATTACGATCTGTAGATGAATGAATGGATGTATGAATGGGTCCGCCTTATAAACAGGTGTGGCATGTGATGTGGCAGAAGTCGAATTCTTGGCCATAGATGGCGCCACTGAAAAACAAGAGTCGCACACTCTACCTTAAATTTGCTCGGTTTCACCAAGCAGGCTTGCCCGTGTGGCAAGTGGCATTAGAACCAACCAACCAAAAAATAACTTCAAAATTAACCAAAAATTTGAAGTTATTGTTTCTAATTATTTACCATTTTGATATCAAATGAATTATTATTCAAACAAAAATGGCTCTGCCTCACCCTTGATGAAATATGCTGAATCTGACGGAAGAGGAGAGTTCCATTGAAATTAGAAAAACGATTCGAAATGCTCCAATATTTTTTAAACTTTGGTCTTTTAACCCTCAACTATTCAGAACGACTAACCTACGGTAATCGTTTCTACATATAGTCTTAAGATTATATTTTATCACCGGTGATCGATTGGAAGGCATTTTCGTATTTAATTACGTATTTTTGTTATCCAGTTCAAAAGCAAGGGAACTTCTCGGGTGGCTTACAACGGCTTTTTCCAGTTTTGGTTAACTGTTAATAAGCAATATTAGTTTAAAGCAATAGTAACGTCAATCCTATCTGATTGCTCTGTTCAAGTCAAATCTGATGCTTTGATGTGTATTTTTCTCAATTGTGCTTTGATATCGCTTGCAATTTTACGCTGGATATAATGACTAATAAGAAATATCGTTAGAAATATTTTATCAATAAAAGACTGAGCTCCGAAAAATAAGGAGTATGCATTCCTGTTAGCATTTAAATATTCAAGACAAGCAAACAAAACAAACTCCTTCTTAAATTGCTTGAAAAGGAAAACCACGAAAACCTCCCACAGTTAGACCAAACTTTTATGACCTATAATAAAATATTCATCACTGGAGGAATTCAACGTCACCACTGTGGCCGGTAATGTACAGTGCGCAAAAAATAAATAAATAAAATTAAAAAAAATGAACCACAT